TGTTAATGTCTTAACTTATACAGATAATTCCAGGTACAAAAGCTGAAGTCCTGACAACATGAAAAGTCTATAGCAGAGGAGACATGGCCTGGGTTGGAGAGACAATGGTTCAGGTTTAGATCTTGAAAATATCAAGACTTAAATGCCTCAAACACAAGTTTATAGATTGTCTTATATATTCAAAAATGTCCTTCCTTCCTTCCTTTTTTCTTTCTTTCTTTTTCTTTTCCTTTTTTTTTTTTTTTTTTTTTTTTTGAGACAGAGTTTCACTATGTTGCCCTTGACCTTAGTAGAGTGCCATGGCCTCACAGTTTACAGCAACCTCAAACCTTGGGCTTAAGAGATTCTCTTGCCTCAGCCTCCCAAGTAGCTGGGACTACAGGAGCTCGCCACAATGTCTGGCTGTTTTTTTGCTGTAGTTGTCATTGTTGCTTAGCAGGCCCAGCCTGGATACAAACCCTCCTGCCCTGGTGTGTGTGGCTAGTCCCCTAACCACTGAGTGACGGATGCCGAACTGTCCTTGTTTTCTTAAATGAACTTTCTTAATTTCTTGAAGATGAATACATCCATCATTAACTACCATTATTTCTAAATTTGAATATTACATCACATTTTATTTTAATAAATAATGTCTCTAGACATTTATTGTATGTCTCTAAAAAACATTTTATTATAATAAATAATGTCTCTAGACATTTATTGTATGTCTCTAGAAAAAAATATTTGCACGTAGGGGTTAATATATAAGGCACACAAGCATTTAAGGGAGAACACATAACTGAGTATGAATATAAAAGAGTAGCATTAATTATAGTTATGATAAGTCCCAGTCATAATATAAATAGTAGTAATTCAACAAAATGTCTGTTGAAAATTTGCTGTGTATCAGGCATTGTTCTAAGCATAATAAATGAAATGGTGAATAAAATATACCCAATATCTATTTTCATAACTTGCATTTTACAAACAGAAACTTAGAAGGTTATCAGTAAAACTAAAGCTAGAATTTGCAAAATTCTGAAATCTAAAAAACGTAATCAATAAAAGAGTATTCTATTCTAGCATAGAGAAAGACAGTGCAATGCTTAGGAAAGGGAGAGTTATGGTAGAACTAATTAATTCGTACATGACTCCATCTCTTTTATCACACTCTTAGACCATGCTGATAGCTCCTTTCAGAAAATGATGCTCAATGAACAGCCAGCAGTGCTAAGCCTGGGTAGGAAAAGTGAAATACAAGGGTCCTCACTATGGAATCTTACTGTTTGGTATAGGAGATGAGATAGTTACTGAAGACAATATGCAATATCTTCCATAAGAGAGGGACAAAACAAAAACACACCAAATAGTAAATAACAACATCAACAATAAACCAGATGTGAGTTAAAAAGGGGGAGAGATCCAGCCTGATTTAATAAGGATAGACTTGCTGGGGGGGGCGGGGGGAGATAAATGAGACAGATTTTGAAGGAGGGGTAGGGTTTGTTCAGGAGAAAGCATTTTAGCACAAGACTGTGCTCTCTAAAGAGGAATGCAGGGTCCAACTGGAGAACAGGGATAGCTTCACTGGAAGAATCAACATTGTTAAAATGTCCATACCACCCAAAGTGATTTATATATTCAATGTAATCCTCATTAAAATACCAATGTCACATTTCAAAAGCCGAAACAATTTTAAGTATTATAAAAAGAACACTTCTGGAGGCATTACAGACATCAATCTGTACTACAAGTTTATATAACCAAAATAGCATGGCACTGTTACAAAAACAGAATCAGAACAATGGAACAAAACAAAGAACCAAAATATAAAACCATCTACTCCAACTGATCTTTGACAAAGCAGACAATAATACACACTGGGGCAAAGGAGCTGTATCCAACAAATGGGGCTGGGAAAATTGGATAGCCACACTCAGAAGAATGAAACGGACCCTTATCTCTCACCCCTTGCAAAATTTAATTCAAGATGGGTAAAAGACTTTAATGCAAGGCATGAAACCATAAAAATTTTTAGAAGAAAATATATGAAAAATGGGTCTAGATGGTGGCCTAAGCAAATAACTTTTGACCAAGGCCCCAAAGGGAATTATAGCAACAACAAAAATAAATAAATGGGACTGGTTAGATTTTGTTTATCCTTTAAAAGAAAACTTTGATGTTTTGTACTACTATTACTATTATTTTGGTTTGAATTTCATTTATTTCTGCTTTGTTCTTTATTATTCCTTTTCTTATTCTAATTTTTTTTTTTTTTTTGCTCTTGTTTTCTAGTGCTTTGAGATGCATCACTAGGTTGTTTATTTGAAGCTTTTCTACTTTTCTCAGCTATGCAGTTCTTACTATAATTGTCCTCTTATTTCTGCTTTTTTCTGTATCCCATAGGTTTCTGTATATTGTGTTGTTGTTTTCAATTTTTTTGAGGAAATTTTTAACTTCCTTCTTAATAGCTTCATTAACTCACTGGTCAGTCAGTGGCATATTGGTTAATTTCTATGTGCTTGTATATTTTCCAATGTTAATCTTACTGATTTCTAGTTTTATTCCACTATAATTGGGGAAAATACTTGGTATGACTTCAATTTTTAAAAAATCTTTAAGAACTAGTTTTGTGCCCAGCATATGGTCTCTCCTTGAGAATTAAGTATCCATGAGCTGAGGAGAGGAGTGTGTACTCTGGGCCTGTTGGATGGAACTGTCCATAATTATCTATTAGGTCCATTTTGTCTATAGCACACTTTAAGTCCAGTGTTTTTTTGCTGATATTCTGTCCGGATGATCTGTCCAGTGCTGAAAGTGAGATGCTGAGGTCTCCAATAATTATTATTTTGAGGCTTATCTCTCTCTCTTCTGTTTGCTAATATTTATTTTATGTATCTAGGTGCTCCAATGTTTGGTGCATTTATCTTTAGAATTGTTATATCAACTTGCTGAATTGACACTTTTACCATTATATAATGACTTTCTTTGTTTCTTTTTACAGTTTTTGTCTTAAAGTATATTTTATCATATAGAAGTATAGCTATTCCTTTTGCTCCTTTTTGGTTTTCATTTTCATGAAATACATTTTTCCATACCTTTATTTTTCAGTCAGTTTGTATCTTTATAGGTGGAGTATATTTCTTGTGGAGAGTATATCTTGTATTTTAAGCCATCCATCCACTCTCTTTTGATTGAAGAGTATAATTCATACACATTCACTGTTATTCTATGGGTAAGGGATTACTACTTAATTCCTGATTGTTTTATGTTCCTCTGTTTCTTTCTTCTTTCCTTCCTGACTTCCTTTGTTAAATGTGATTTTCTCTGGTAGTAAAATTTAATTTCTTGGATTTTAAAAAATCTATTGTAGGTTTTTTGGCTTGAGGTTATCGTGAGTCATGCAAAAAATTTTATCGCCAATTATTTCAAACATGACAAGTCTGCTTATAAACAAAGAAATCTATCAAAAATTCTACACTTTAACTTCATCCCTCCCCACAGCTTTTAACTTTGTGTTGTTTCTATCTATATCTTTTTATACCACTTATCTCTCAAAAAATTCTTATAGTTATTTTTGGTAAGCATGTCTTTTCGCTTTCCTACTCAAGATATAAGTGGTTTACATACAGTAATTACAGCATTGAGTTTTCTGTATTTGTGTACTTGTGTACTTGTATTTGTGTACTGTATTTGTGTTACTAATGAGCTGTATGCCTTCAGAAGCTTTCTTATTGTTTATTAATGTCTTTTTCTTTTATATTGAAGAACTTCCTTTAGCATTTCTTGTAGGACAAGGCTGGAGTTGATGAAATCTCTCAGCTTTTTTTTTTTTTTTAATCTGTAAAAAGAAAGTCTGTATTTCTCCTTCATGATTAAAGAACATTTTTGCAGGATATAATATTCTGAATTTAAGCTTTTATTTTTCCTTCAGCACTTTGAATATGTCATGCCACTCTCTCCTGGACTACAAAGTTTCTGCTGAGAAGTCTGCTGCTAGACATATCTGAGCTCACTTTTATGCTTTTGCTGTTATTTTTTCTGCTTCCCTTGGGATCTTTTCTTCATCTGTTACCTTTAGGAGCTTGTTTTTTTGTTTCTTGGGTTTCTAAAAAAAATTTTTTTTGAGACAAGAGTCTCAGTTTGTCACCCTCCGTGGAGTGCTCTGGCATCATAGCTCACAGCAACCTCAAACTCTTGAGCTCAAGTGATTCTCTTGCCTCAGCCTCCCAAGTAGTTGGGACTACAGGTGCCCAACATGACAGATGGCTATTTTTAGAGACCTGGTCTTGCTCTTGGTCAGGCTTATGCTGAATCTGTGAGGTCAGGGCAAGCCACCTGCCTCAGCCTCTCAGAGTGCTAGGATTACAGGGCTAGGATGTACAGTAATTACTATGCCTGGTCTAGGAGCTTGATTATTAAATATCTTGAAGTAATCTTATTTGAGTTAAATCTGCTTTGTGGTCTATGACCTTCTTGTACTTAAATATTTGGTGTATTTCTCTAGGTTTGGAAAGTTCTCTGTTATTATTGCTTTGAATAAACTTTCTACCTCTATCTCTCTCTCTACCTCCTCTATAAGGTCAATAGCGATTAGATTTTCCCTTTTGAGGTGATTTTGCAGATCTTGTAGGCATACTTCTTATTTTTTTGTCTCCTTTTTTCTCTTCTGCCTATGTATTTTCATACGGCCTGTTTTCAAATTCACTAATTCTTTCTTCTGTTTGATCAATTATGCTGTTAAGAGATGAATTTCTAAGTTTGTCAATTGAAATTTTTAGTTTCAGAATTTCTGCATGATTTTTTAAAAAATTTCAATCTCTTTGTTATATATTTCTTTGATAGGCTTCTGAATTTCTTTCTGTGTTGTCTTGAAGTTCATAAAGCTTCTTCAGGACAACTAGTTTGAATTATTTTTCTAAAAGATCGTCGATCTCCATTACTCTCAGATTGGTCACAGGTACCTTATTCAGTTCATTTGATGAGGACATCATTTAAAAACAAATGTTTTTCTTATTCAGTCTCCATAGAGACTGTCCAAAAATTGCCAATTACTACTATATTTCAAGTTGCCATGGTGGGGTATTGGGAAAAGTTTTCAATTAGCAACAATCACACCTCAGATAAATCTCATTGGTTACAATTCTGCCACTGTGCAAAGCTGATGAGGACATCTTTTCCTGGGTGTTCTTAATGCTTGTGGATGCTTGTTGGTGTCTGGGTATTGAAGAGTTATATATTTATTTTCATGTTCACAATCTGGGCTTGTTTGGACTTTCCCTACCCTTCTTGAGAAGCCTTTCAGATATTCAAAGGGAATTTAATGTTTTGATCTACATCTTTGGTGACTATCAAAGTCACTGGGGGTACCCCAAGCCCAGTAGTCCAGTGACTCTTATAGACTCCTGGTGGTACCACCTTGGTAGACTTGGGTAAGAGATGGGAGAATTTCCTGGATCACAAGGCAAAGTTTCTTACTCTTATCCTTTACTCTTTGTGCTGGGCTTCTGAAGTTGGGGTAAGGAGTGATATGGACATTCTCTGTGGCCACTACAGCTAGTATTTTACCAGGTCAGACCTAAAACCAGTCTCACCTAAATCCCATGGTGATTGTAACCTGTTTACCTTTGGTGTTTATCCAAAGCCAAGGGCTCTTCCATGAGCAGGCAGTGAATCCTACTAGGACTGGGTCTTTCATTTCAGGGTAGGGTAGTGTATTTCCTTCCAGTCCAGGGAAGATTATTAAGAAGGTACAAATTAATAGGTTACATTTTGTGTTTGTTAGGTAACATTGAAGTTATAGTTGAGCCCTTCACACAGGGATATGCTGTAGATCCAATGTTAAAATGCAAATCAAAACCACGCTGAGGTATCACCTAACTCCAATGAGACTAGCCCACATTACCAAGTCCTAAAGCTGCAGATGCTGGCATGGATGTAGAGAGAAGGGGACACTCAAATGTATTTTATATCCTGTTTCTCTCTATGTTGCTACATAGACTTTGTAAGATTAACTTTTGATATTATTGGAAGCAATATGGCTGAAGAAAAACCTTCAGCAATTGTCCATCCACATGACCACTTAATTCAACAATAAGCTATGCAAGGATCTGGCTAGTACCAGCATCGGCTGACAAAAAGCAGCCTGGAAATTCATCATTTGCAAATTCCATGTTTGCAAATTCTAATTACTAAAATGTATTTGTACCCCAACAACAAAACCCTTAGGCTTTCCCCCATCATTTGCAGCCATATGCAGAGCAATGAAAAATTTGAGTCACCTGATATACATGTTTTTCAACTGAAGCCAACCAAGGTTGCACTCTGCTTTTTTGTTTCAGCTCTCATATTATAAACAAATGTTTTTCCCACAATCTGTTTAAAGTATGCTTTGCACTTTTTGAGCTTTTTGTCAATGATTTTACTGTTTAAAATGCTTCATAAATGTTAGTACTGACATATTGTCTAGTGACTCTAAGTAAAAAAAAGGCTGTGATGTGCCTCATGGAGAAAATAAATATGTTAGATAAGCTCCATTCAGGGTGGGTTATAAATATGTTGACTGTGAGTTCAATGTTAAAAAATCAATGAGCAACATATATAATAATAAGGTATTTTTAAGCAGAAACATACATAAAGCAAAGTTCTGTATTGATCAGTTGTTGAAGACATGAACAGAAGCTCACAGGAACATAACACTATTTATGCCAGGAGCAATTATTCATTATTTGGTAAATCAGTGTTTGTGGTGACTTTATAGAAAATTTTATAGAAAATAGCTATCATAAATAATTAGAATAGATTGTATTATATGCAAAATAAAAAGATTAGAAAAAATGAGTTAAAATAATAGTGATGGTGGTATACTGATAGTACTGTGAATTTTTACATGTTTACCTTAATTTTCAAATGCTTAAAAATAAAATATCTCTATGATAAAAATATATACCTTACATTTTACAAACATTATACATCAAGAAAATCAACAAAACCTGCACAAAAACCACATTGGGCCTTCTCTTCAGTGTCAATTTAAAGTATATGAAAATTAGTTTATTACTTTAAGGTCTTGGTGTGTGCCACACCTTTTGGGGGCAAGATACGATTGTAAGAGGGACTTTACCTAACAAATGTAATCAAAGAAACCTGGTTTCTTGTACCCTCAATGAATCTCCAACAATAAATTTAAAAAAATAAATAAATAAACCCATCCCTTCCAAAAAAAAAGAAAAACAAGTAAAACAAACAATACAATTTTTGCTTTGACATATTCCATTTGGTTGTCCACTTAAATCACCAGATTTAACTATTAGTGATTTCCCCCCCAAATTAAATTTATATCTAAGAAATGTACTGAAACCTACATGCACAGATTATAACAGAGCATTGAAAGGATAGTGGCATTTATTCCACTGAACTTTCGATTCAATGTAAATATTATTTTATACTATCCCCAAAGGAGAAGAACCTGATTTTTTGAATGTATTCATTCTATAAAGGAAAATTTACTACCAAGTAATATTTTTTTGTTCAGTTATAATTGTTATGAATATTTCTTATATTTATCCATATTCCTATCATCATCCATGTTTTTTAACAACAGAGAATAAATCAAATCACATTTGTAGGATATAACTCTGAAAATATTGTAAAGGAGCTATCTTTTTGCTCCTGTGACTTTTTTTTTCTAGATTAAATATCTCCAGGAACTGTATCCATTCTTCCTTACAGTATTTCTCTGAGTCCTCTGTTGTCTTGTTCTATGTTGTCTTTGCTTCAGCTTAGCAATGCTCCTCTTAATGTGATGAAATCAGGACTGAGGAGAATGTGAGATTTGCACACCCAGTAATCACTGCTCCCACTGCACTTGACATTTTCAACAGAGGACTCACAAATGGGCTCTGAGAAATGAGGCTTCAGGAATGAACATACGAGTCTCACAATGTGACTTCTGCAAGAGGATAAACACTTATTGGGATCAATAGGATTAGTGCTTTTATTAAAATAATTGATTTATAGGCATAGCTTGTATTTTTAAGTTTTCAATTTTCTCATCTTTTAAAATTTTTTACTGATTGTAAATTTAAACAAAATATTCTCTCTTATCCCATTCAAGCTTTTTATTTTTTTAGTTCTTGCTCTGCCCACTTTTATGGAAATTGTAGATTTTTTTCACATGGCTGTCTATTGAAACTACAGAAGCTGCAATTCATGTTTAAATTCTTAGAAGTGTTTTTGTCACATTACACAGTGAAATGTTTTGGTGTTTGATTTAACCTTGTGCGTGTATTCATACCATATTGAATAACTAATGTTTTCATCTGTTAAACCTGCTTCTTAGATAATATGATGCTTATATCATCTAAGACAACCCACTGAATAATAAAAGCAATACACTGTAGTATGCTGGATGATATAGAGAAATATGTAAAAGGGTTTTGTTCTTGTTTATTATATTTCAAAAAATCTTTGTGCATGCAGCTAGCTCTAGTGGTAAAATTATATATTTTACATTTTTATTACAGGTGATCTTTTTGTCAGTCATATGTCTTTATGAAAGTCTAATATTGATTTATGTACTTTAGCAGAAACCATAAGGATGGTGGATTTAGAAATAGAAAGATCACCATTGTCATACATTTTTCTTCCCATATACTTTTCTTTCTTTCTTTCTTTCTTTCTTTCTTTCTTTTTTTTTTTTGAGACAGAACCTCAAGCTGTCCCCCTGGGTAGAGTGCTGTGGCATCACAGCTCACAGCAACCTCCAACTCCTGGGCTCAAGCGAGTCTCCTGCCTCAGCCTTCCAAGTAGCTGGGACCACAGGCGCCCACCACAACCAGCTATTCTTTTTTTTTTTTTTTTTTGTCGCAGCTGTCATTGTTGTTTGGTGGGCCCCAGCTGGATTCAAACCCACCACCTTGGGTGTACATGGCTGGTGCCTTAGCCACTTGAGCCACAGGCACCAAGCCCCCATATACTTTTCAACGCAGTCATTCTTTTTTTTCATGGTACATAATATTCGTACATATTTATGGGGTACATCTGATATTTTATTACATGCACAGGGTGACAATATCAAGTTAGGGCACTTAGGGTATCCTCAAGTGTTTATGATTTTTATGTTTTAGGAAAATTTCAAGCATTCTCTTTTAGCTATCTTGAAATATAAAATACATTATTATTAAGTACAATCACCCTATTCTGCTATCAAACATTAGAACTTATTCCTTTTCTATAAACTGTATGTTTGAACCCCTTCATTAGCCAACAACTCTTCACCTTCCTTGCCCTTCCCAGACTCCGGTATCTATCATTCTACTTGCTACCATGTGATCAAATTGTTTAACTCCACATATGAGTGAGAACATGTGATATTTGTCTTTCTGTGCCTGACTTATTTCACCTGACGTAATGACCTCCAGCTCCATCCATTTTGCTGCAAATGACATGATTCCATTCTCTTATGGCTGAGTAGTATTCCATTGTTTATATGTACTACATATTCTTTGTCCATTTGTCCATCAGTGGACATTTAGGTTGAAGGTGTGTCTTTGCTATTGTGAATAGGGCTGCAACAAACAAGTGTGTGCCAGTATTTTTTTTTTTTTTGAGAAGAAAAAATGTTGCCATATTCTATTATGAAGTTATGTGGCCTTTCAAAAATAGAACACTAGTCAAAACTGCTTTTACATTGTGCATACTGTATAAAATCATGTTTCTTGTCTCAGAAGGTGGTGACACTTGCTATTCAGTGTGATATTCAACAGAACACTTCACATGTAAGGCAACATCACATTTTTTCACATCAAAAAGTGGTGTTCCTATAACATTCAGTACACTGTCTTTGCTTTCTGTTTGATGGTGTGAGTCAGTGTTATCTTCCTGAGGTCTTCCCCTTTGACCAGGTTCTGGAGCATAATCGTGGGTCTCCAGATAATGGCATAGCCCACATCAACAAAACTGGAGAAAATCCACTGGCTTCTCATCATCTGTTTTATGCAGTTGCCAAGTATTTATAAGGCCAATTGAAACAGAACAAAAGAGGGCTTGAATTCCATTTCTTACCATGGATTAATGCCTGATACTTATCAATGTTGTCATCAGCTCTGTCTATGCCTCCCATGAAATGGTTATACACTTTGATCATGTTTGGCTCCTGAACT